AGAAATAAAGTTCACCATTACTTTAAGCACGTTTGAAACTATAGATTGGGATAATAAAAGAGAGTACGAAAATTTCGTTTCAGTGGCACTTTAAGGTATTCCTGGGGCTTTTTTTGCCAAATATTTTACATATTAGGGGTGGTGAATGGTAAATGCGAGACTTTACGAGACAGCGAGACCAGCGCTTTTCTTTGCAAGCCCGAGACATATTAGCCTGCAAATGCAGACGTATTTCCGGCTGTCACTTGGTTCTGCTGAAAAATAATGTCTGTGAACCCGAGCCAGGAAACGATTTCTGTGACTTAATGACTTTTGTTTCTCCTTGGCCAATCAGATTCCATGATAGAATGAAACTCGAGTGCTAGTAGAATTCCTACACCATAGAAATCGTTTTCTGGCACGGGTTCGCAGACGTTATTTTTCGGCGGAACCAAGTGACAGCCGGAAATACATCTGCGTTCACGGGCTAGAGACATATTGACTTTTTAGATTGCGAGACCGAGACTTCAAAGTGTTTTGGGTGCAAGCGCGAGGGGCTCACTCTTAAAATTCGAGCCCCAGATTTAGTTGAGAGCGATAAGAATGAGCGAGAATGAGCTTGTACAGTACAGAAGTCTTACAGAGGAGCCTTTTGTTGTAAATACTTGTGCCTTTACACAGTTCCACAGGGGACAACAGATAAGTTCTTCAACTTCGTGGGTTTATTTCATGATGAGCTATCGTGGGTTGTGTGTGGCTTCTTGATTTCCCTTTTAGCCATTTAGCCAGCCTTTGCGAAAAAGCTGGAACTGGAAATTCGACTATAACACACTACGTTAGGATATCCTAGAACAAAATAACTGTTTTTTGGCGCCAAAATGACGTTGCGGTAAGTTTTGTAGCTTTTTGTGGAACTAAGACAATTTGGCAGAAGTTAGGGATAACTTTTTCTCGGAAATTTGAAAGTTGCTTTATGGAAATTCAATATCAAGTGACGAGAAGATGTCATTTATTAAAACAAACAAATGAATCGGAACTTCAAAGCCCTTAACCTTGCAAAAAGTTGATCAAGACTCCGAGAGAGCTTCATATGAAAATCGAGACTGCGAGACGCACATAACTGCTAAAAAAAACGAGACTGCGAGACCCGTGAAATTCGAAAATTTGCGAGACCCAGAGTTTTTGAAGGACCATTCGCCACCCCTCATATTATATCTGTAGAAATAATATTGTTCAATACGGATCATATTTTCACATTTAAAACATGAATCTGTATGTAGATTTGCTCTAAAATATTATAAAACTGAAAGAATGAAAGGAATTTCTGTAATATGATATTTTAATAGGTGATTTGAAAACCTTAATGTTTTGCCTTTTGCCATAACTCGAAAAGAAATACTTCTACTTTAAAGAACTATGGCAGGTGAATAAATACGATTGGAACCTATAATTTTGTGTGAGTACACCATTTTACTTATGCCATATTATCAAACTCGTGATGCCACTATGGAACTCATTTTCGAAAGCATTTGATTTACTCCCACAAAAAGTTTCGTTGTTTGTAATTTTTCTGGTTATCAGAAGAAGAAATGACAAATAAATGATAATTACTGACCTCAAATGGCCGAAGAAGATTGTGGACTTTTCATGTTTCCCGATTTATAGGGCACTGATTCAAACAATTTTAGTGTAGTTGATCGGCTGTCAATTTAACAAATTGACATCAGTTTTTCATGCGTCTGTTCTGTTATTGATCATTGTCAATAACAGTACAGACGCATAAAAAAACTGATGTCCATTTGTTTTTAACAATAACAAATTGTCAAGCTGCCCACTCTCACTTGTCGGGTCACCATCATGTAAATTAAAAATTCACGTGTGTGTCTGCTTATTGACAATGAAAGGTAGCCAATGAGCACGTGAGAATTTCTGCAGTTATTATAAAAAATGACTTCCGGTATAATTAGACCGTTACCACTTTTAATATTCACAAGGGGCAAACATTTAAAACAGTTGATTTATTTCTCCTGCAATGACTTCTTGATACTCCTAACCTTAGTTTGGTGTCAAATAAATCCATCTTTCATCACTAAAATTTGAGTCTGACTGAAAAGAAGTCTGTTGTACCTACATTTTTTATGTAGGCCAGGTTACATAACATGTCGAAAGATAGCATGTCAAAAGATGTCTCCTGTGTACGTAACACTGAAAGCTGGTGTAAATGGAGCATAACTGGATGCACTGAATGAGTTTGAATAATATTGTTGCCATTCTGGAACATTTTTCTGTCCTGTAGGTTTGGTGACTCTGGTTGCAGTGGTCTTTGTAGAGGCCTTTATGGTAACAGAACTCTGTTACGTCTCAGCCTTTGTTATTGTGATCTTGGCCCTCCCAGTGGAGAGATTCTTGGAAAAACAGTTTCAAACACTGTCCTAAGGTAAATTGTAGTCTAGTTACCTCTAAATGCAGCTTCCTGTCATTTGGGTTAATTGAATAAAAAATATTCTGAAGACTGAAAAAATGGTTATTAATTGTGAACAATGGCTACCATTTAAATAGGCTGTCAGTAGCGTCTCAACCATTTGTTGGCAGACATTATACCAAAACATTTACTACAGTCGACCATCATTAAAGTGACAGTGTTAAGTAGTCCAAAAACACTTCTCTTAATTTAATCAACACATTGGTCTAAGACATTTTTTTAATTGCTATAGGTAATTCACAAAGGAGCCACTTAAGCAAACTTAGTTTGGTGGATAGATCCCTACTACTATTTGAGAGTAGAGTGTATCGTGTAGAGTACATTTTCCCCTCTAGCATAGTTGTCGAAAAGATAAATAAGAAAATGTTGACAATTATTTCAGTCAAAGACAGATAAACATGTTGTTGACAGATTACCAACAGTTTGTTGACTGTTGACTGACAGTTTTGTTGACAGACAACTGACAATATAATATCTTATGGGGGTTGCTCTCCACTTTTACCAGGAAAATTTCGCTGTCAGAGAGTTGGAATTGGACCAGGATGTAGTTGTGCTACACTTTCCAAATTACTTGTTAATTTTAACACTATCCAGATTAAGATTAATTATTTTTAATATTTACTATATATTGATATTAATATTTATTTATATATTTAAATTATCACTATTTATTTACCTATTTTCAATTTGTCATCTAGGTCTTTATTAATTAATCATTTTGCATACTGCAGTCCACATCAGGACTTAATGTCTTGCCAATTCTAAAAAAAAAGTGGAAAGTTTTCAAAATTAATGAATAACCCTAACCCCAACCCTAACCCTAACCCTAAGTGAAGAAAGTTACTGACTTTGTTCAGCGGCAACTAGAGTTCTTTGTGACCTTAAAACTGTGCTCTGGTTGACCAGCTAATATAACAAGCGGAACGTTTAACAGAGGTGAATTTACAATAAAATAAGCCAACTGGGAAGTCTAAATGGTGATTGTGACTGCTTAATAGAAGTGACCGCTTAATGGGTGAAGCGAATTTCGGGAATTTGAATGGCGACCTCTTAATAGAGGGTGACCACTTAACAGAGGGTCTCTTAACAGAGGTTCGACTGTACTATATCGTCAGCCCAAAATCCCATGCCAACGTCTGCACAATCAGGATTAAGTTATGCTATCCCAAATCACAGACGACCATGACTGATTTTTCACTTCATGTTAAATGAGATGCAATTACCTGCTTTAAAGCAAAGACACTTGGCACTTGTCTTATGAACAACATAAATCAAAAAATCCGTTGACTAGTGCGTGGACTTCTTAGATATACTTTGCATTTTCAGTTGTCACGAACAATAAATGTAGATTGCACGCTTACTTTTGTTATAGTGTTCAATTTTTTGCCCCATAATACACTAAATTTTGATCACCTCTTTCAAGTGGTGGTCAACCTGTATTAAGTAGTCACTCAGCTATTTCCGGAGAGTCACTGCTTAATAGAGGTTTGACTGTATTATCAATAGTTTAATGCATGTTCTGTATGTTTTGAAAAAGAAATTAACGTATCGGGCAGTAATTATGATCAGTGAAAGTGTAGTGAGAAATTTTTGTGTATTTCAGTGACATTTATCTTGATGGCAACTTCTTGGAGTGTGAAGGAGTGATTGAACTCATCAAGCTCTTTGCTGACTCAGCGGAAATGGAAGCTATTGAACGTGCTGAAAGAAAGGAGGCAGAGAACATTGAAACAAACACGTTAGCTGTACCGGGTGTACCATCTGCTATGTCGTCAGTATCAAGGCCAACATCTTCTGTTTCCATTAAAAGTAAACCTGGAAGGTGGGTTCAAAATAATAACCAGTCTGAAAACACCTTGCAAACTTACATCTGGAACAAATAAATTGCTCTTTGTTCTGTTCTCTGGCTTGTTTTGGTTATTCAATAAGGAATTTGATAGATGATGATCAGAAAGACCTTTTAGAAATTCTCCATCACATGGACCTGTTGCTGATCCATAAATTTCTAGCTTTTTCTCTTAATTTTCCTATGTACATGGTTTAAAGAAAAAAGTTTATTGGCATGATATCCCTGTGGTTACCATTCATGTGCCTGTCTGGGTGTTCCCTTGTAATCTCCAACGTATCCTCCTATCCAGCCCAGGGATCAGTGCATTAAGTCCAGTCTTGTCACATAGATTAGTTTGTTTGACATTTATTTTACACACAGTAGTGCAAGGTCTCGCATATCTTCCACTGGGAAAAAAGGGAAAAAAGGAAAAAAGAAAAAAAGTGCAAAGAGAAAAAAGGAGCCACCCCCCCCACCAGCAGTTGGTCCATGGATTCAGAAACTCCACTTGTTAAACAATGGTATTGATGCACATGGACCAGGCTCAACTCTTGGACCTGTTATGTGTATGAAAATGTTAAGAAAGTAAGTACTAGGTGTTTATGATGGTAACTGGTGAATTGTATCTCATTTAGCTATTGAAAGTATAGCAATCTTGTGCTGTAATTTCTTAAATCTTGATATATAAGTGATGAGGAGGAAACAGTTTCGCTGTTGAGTTGGCTAAAGAGACTTTAGAAACAAATTTGGAGGGTTGCTTTCAAAGGAAAAGATTCTACTGATGTAAGAAGCGTCATGTTGTGCTCTTATAGGTGTGCTAATTAGATTCCAATAAAAGGTTCCCACAGTACCTAAAAGTGCAACTAACCCCCCAAATTATTTTTCCTTTAATGAAGTCTACTAGCTACTAGTTTTTCCAGTTACTTTAGTGAAAAAATCATCTCGATTGATAAAATTCCCGCGATTCTGCAGGCGTTCAAAGTTGTAATTTCTGTGCCCACGACGGAGCATAGTGGGATCTGAGTCGGGCTTCTTGTGATGTCATCGAAGGACATGGCTCAAAACACTCAAGAGAAGTTTAACTGGGTTTTCGAGTGCTGTGAAAACATATTTGGGGTATTAAGGTATCAGTAAGGGGAAAATTTGCCATTTTGCATAATTTTACTTTTTTAAGCGGTTGGATAAATCTTAAGGTTATCTTTAAGATAAAAAAAAAACCCACGAAAAAATAATATATCTGCCGCTAGTTATAGCGCGAGAAAGATGTTTTGCATATTCCTTACTCAATTGAGAGCTGATAAGTTCTGTCAAATGAATTAATTATCGAGGCGAGAAGTCACATGCATGACATCAATAACATGTTGAGTTGACACGTGATTCGGTCGCCAAAATCAGTGCACGGAAGTCTCCGAAGAAGAAAAAGCGATCTTGCCCGTTTTCATCCGCTAAATGAAGGCCAAAGAAGGCAAAACACACTTTCGACAAAGAGTGGGCTGCTAAATTAGCCGAAAGCAACAAAGGGTGGTTTTACAGCCAAGGAAAAATTGATGGATGAACTCGACAGCGATCGCAAGAAACTGTCGAAGCATAGAAAATTGACGAAGAAAAGTGGACAAAGTTGAAAGGAAGAGGATTAGTCAACCGATGCGTAAAATTTCGAACGCTAATATAGTAAATCAAAAGATAATTTCAAGTTTACTAACCTTGGAATTCTGACTTCACACATGAAAAAGCGGTTTATTCACTGGAGAATAATTTACTGCATGCCGTCGCGGGAAATTTGTACCTGTTCCGTGTTAACTGTCACAGTCCTATTGTTATATAGATAGTTGATTCCTCTGCGGTGTTTCCCTTGGTGTGATAACACTTGGATGCCGCCGAATTTTATTTTTTCTCTTTTTCTTGAAAGTGAAAAATAGGCGAGTTGTACGTGCATTTCGAGTTCCAAGTCGGCAGCCCCGGGACCAAATTGGTTGAAATTCGGAGAGAATGTTGTCAGAACGTTCGCCGACAAAACCGTGTCTGAGAATTCTGATTATTCTTATTAAAAAGACACGTCTTTTTTCCCAGGCAGTTCTATTTTTTTTCCTTTTCTAACTTTATCCTCTTGTAGAAAAATAACAAACGCATGTGGCAAAAATCTGAGACACGGTTTTGTAGGTCAATGTGTGAAGAAACGGATGCCATGTTAATCGTTTTCTCCGGCCTAAATTTAGCGGGCATATGCCTTGATTTATAGGTTCGTGAAGCTTTATAAACACATTCACGTTTTCGAAACACGGTAAATTTTTACCGTTTAAAACAGATCGGGTCATGATCTGTAGTTATTAAGCTTACAATAAATATACGGTTTACAGGGGTTTTGTTAAAACCACGAACGCTAGAGTGGACCGCGTGCGGATGGTCAAATCGGTTATACTGATACCTTAAAATATGCTTCATATTTTGTCAAAAATGGACAAGAACTGTATCATCTAGCAATACAATTCGGAGTCTAGTTACGATTAGGACGGCTATGATGTATATAGTTTTCTTCGATTTCGAAGTGCGGGTCGCCAGTTGAGCCTGCCACCCTGCAAGTCAAGATCGACAATTTGCTGGCCCGTTTGGCTATTCTACTAATCTACATACAACACTTCTTTCAGTACTCTTACTGAACCCTTGATAGTTCTTAACGATTAGAGTATATTTTTTCGTTAATTATTCAAAAACGCGGAAAAATTCGTCTTTTGGCTTCGTTATTGCCGACCAACCATATGTATACAAAGTCAATTACTGTGTACAAACATAAACCTTGCGAGTTACACAAATTTGCATTTTTCTTACTAGTAATTAAAAATCCTTCAACAAGATTGACAAAGGTTCAGTATGGTATCAGTTAAATGAATACGGTCGAATACATTTCTCCTTTTCTTTTGTTTTAAAAGTCTTTTTTGGTACGCTGATAACCTGAGTGTTGCGTTTTGGTCAAAAACAAGCTCATTCTCCTCCCAGGTCTCCTTTAGCTTCCTTTCAGTGCTACAATCTTCATCAGTAAAGTCGAATCTAAATGGTTTGTTTTACTTTCCTCATATACTTATCAACCTTGATTCGTTGTGTATGCAGATGAGAAACTCAATTGCAGATTGTCGGCCTCGAGCATGTGGTTGTATATGAAATCCACAAATACATAGCTAGTTCTGCAGTTGGAAACCTCACAAATCTTAATTGCCTTGTTGTAGGACGTATGTGCCATTGATTATTCGATTACAAAGCTCTATTTCGAGGACAAACAGAACTTTATGGGCCGATTATTTAAACGAAGTCTAAGTTAATCATTGTTTGGGACTGAGCCGCAGTTTAGATGTCTCGATAAACAACGGCTAAACAATGTTTAAAATTCATCATTGAAACTCGACTGAACAGTGTTTTCTCGAGCTAGTGGCTAAACCGTGTCTTACGAGGAAGTGCATTGTCTACAGAGTTATTTCGTATGCAAATTTCCAGACAGTGGTTATGGCTCTTAAACATGACATCTAAAACAAGCCCCACAACAAATTTCAGCGAACAAGAAAAACTTTTATTGGTCGAATTGGGTAGAGACTTTCCAGAAGTGGAAAGTAAAGACTACGACAGTAAAACCGCATCAGCCAAAAAGGCAAAAGCATGGGAGGACTTCTTAACTAAATNTGAATGCTGAAAAACACAGCAGTTTACTCAACAAAGTGCACCGCAACAGCGCGCGCAAAATGACGCGTACTGTCCAATTACAAGCATGACGCGTACGCTGTCCAATTAATGCTCAAATCGGGCTGCTGGTAACCAATCACGTTCGAGAATTTTGTTATAGTTTTGATTAAAGGTGGAACAAAGACGAGAGGGAAGTTATTACATACAGAGTGGAGCCAAACCTTGAAACTAGCGGAAAAAGTCACGAAACAGGACCATAGTCGTGTGTTTTTTGTGCACCCCTCAACCGGTATATCGGTTGACATATTGACCGACAGTTGACTGATGTATCTGTTGACATATCAACCGACACTCGACTGATATGTTGGTCGACATATCGACCGACACTCGACCGATATATCGACCGAGATATGTCGGTCGACATATCAATATGTCGACCAACACTCAACCGATATGTTGGTCGATATGTCGACCAAGAGTGGTTGTCCGATTGTCGGCCGACATGTCGATCAATAGGCTACCGACATTCTGCCGATACTTCACTGATGCTTGCGTACTGGTGACTGTAGCCTGCGTCGCAGATGTAATTTAACCTAGGTTAGTAACTTCTGCTGAGCTGCGCAGGTATCCCTGTTTGAATAGAAGACTGGAAGGGAATTACTAAAATAAGATACATGCAAGGAGTAATACCAGTGGGGGAAAAAAATATAACATACCTAATGAGGACAAATATCCCATCTTCTTGAATATACCCAACTAAAAAGTACAAGCTAGAGTACATATGGAAAACAAGCATAGCCTCAGTAGAATTATTTAACAACAAGTACGACTTGTTGACAGGGCAATGCTGAAACCCAGCCCCATTCCATACCAGAAAAATCAAAGGGACTACGCCAGTGAAGGCCAGATACCACGACAGATATGGCGGTGTGGAGAAGTTGCTTAAATGTGAATTCGTTTTTCTGGATTTTTTTATCTTGATTGTTTTGTCAAATGCTTGTATAACTCTCCTAAATTTTAAGTCATGCGGTAACCCCTCCCACAGGCAAGGAAATGTAAAAATCAACAACAGCAAAACAGTGCGATGCATGGGCAAATTCAATACTTACTCGTCTTTCATCAGTTCTATTCCAGCACCTTGTTATCCTTCATCGTCCTTATCTTCTTTCCTGTCAACTGTATTTTGTCTATTTGGCAGTATTTCACTTGGGTGTCTTGCTTGACAACGACTGAATTTGCGGCACATGATCCGAACATAAAGCCTTCAGAAATTTTTAAGGTTGACCAAAAAAGGATGAAATGCGCATAACTTATACATCTGACATTGGCAGTCTAAGCTTTTGACTTATATTATACGACAGTCGACCGATATACCACCAACAGTCGACCGATATTCCGCCGAAAATCAATGGTCAACGTATCAGCCGAGTGTCGGGCGCTATATCGACTGAGATATCTGCCGATAGTCGGTCAATATGTCGACCGACACTCGGCCAATATCTCAGTTGATATATCGATCGATATATCAGCCGTCATATCTCGGTCAATATATCAGCCGAGTGACAATCGATATGTCGACCGACATATCAGTTGAATGTTGGTCAATATGTTGACCGATATATCGGTCGAGAGTCGGTCGACATGTCGACCGATACATTGGTCGAGGGGTGCACAAGTTACACGTGATCCGTCGAAAGTACAGTAATTTTCAATCACTTCTAAAAATTGTTTTCTAGAATCGCCAATAACCCTCTGGTTTATTTTACATTTGTAATGCAAACCATCCCCACAACAAGAATTCGGTAACCCACCATATAAATCAATCTCGCAAGACGCGGTAGGAACTGTGCACATCTAAATGTTTGTCACTCGCTTGAATAGTAAAGAAAGTTTGGCTATCACTTTAGGGGGGTCCTTCTTAACTACCAACTGGTCATGAATTTTTTACTAAGGAAGGTTTCTAACCGTTATATTTTGAAAACCAGACCTAAGGATAAGCTTTTTGCACTGGTTTGTTCCATTGAAGAGTCCTGCAAAAGTTTCAAATCATGGCCATATTTGACTAGTCAAGTGACCAGAATCAGGAAACACCTAAAACTTACAAGGCGTACAAATCTGAAAATTTAAATCAGTGTCAATAGATTATGAATGTCCACGTGCTTAGTGCTACGCTATGGGTTTTGTGAAAGTCGTATTATCTTAAAAGTTATGAGGTATTAACAGACTTTCTACAGTAGCTTTCCTCTTTTACGGGTAAATAGTAATTCTATATGTATGATTATAAAGATGGCTAAGTTATTTCTGTTTCAAAAGAAAAATCGTTTTAGGGATTTAAAATTCTAATGATGTGATCCCAATAATTACAGGCTGATTTCTATTCTCCCAACAATAAGCAAAATCCTTGAGAGAGGTTTTCATTTCCAAGTCTACAAATACTTGGGCGACCATGGCATCCTTACATCTAAACAATATGCTTTTTGCCCGAAGATGTCAACTGGGATCACACTTACTCATTTTTTGGATACAGTATTGGACAACGTGGACAAGGGCCTTGTTACTGGTGCGGTATTTCTGGACCTGATTAAAGCGTTTGACACTGTCGACCATCAGCGTCTAATCCACAAGCTCCACTCGAATTTTTTTTAAGTCACTCTGTGGAATGCAGTTGAGAATGCCCTTTCCTGTTCCAAACTTGTGTCTGTTGTTGTCCCTTAGGGGAGTATTCTGGGACCTTTGTTGTTTCTTAGTTACGTCAATGACCTACCACAATGCTTACGACAATGTGATTTAACATCCTTTGCTGACAACACCGTTGTCTACACCTCAGCAAAGGATGCTGCTACCCTAGAAGCCCAGTGGTTCTTTTTCAATCGCCTCACCTTGAATGAAAGCAAATGCAAATTTGCCTTGTTTGGTAGTACACAGAAACTAAAATCGTTCCAGAATTTCTCTCTTTGCATTAATGACTCTCAATTAGAACGAACCGACTCCTTCAAGTACATAGGAGTTTTATTTAATCAGTGTATGACCTGGCATGAACACGTTCATTCCATCATCGATAAAGTTAATTAACGTCTTAGTGTTCTGCGAAGAGTGAAGCACAATTATGCTACCACTCCAAGCCCGTCTTACTCTTCACAGTAGCCTTGTTCTTCCCTTAATTGAATTTGGAGACATAGTTTGGGGCGATAAGAACAACTCCACCCTTATGGATCTTCAAATTCTCCAAAACAAGGCAGCTAAGATCATTATTGATCACCACCCAAGATCCTCTGCAACTGAAGCTCTTGATTCCCTTGCTTGGAAGCCACTGCACCTGAGACGTCGTTTCCATCGTTGTATAACAATATTTAAGCGTTTAAATGGTTTTACTGATTTTAGTTGTCATCTTATAACGAACAGCCTAGTTCATACTTGCAACACGCGACACAAAAATGACCTCCATCTTCCACGTGTTAGAACAAATTGGGATAAGCAACATGTCTTTTATCATGGTGTCACTGACTGGAACGTTTTATCTCAGGAGACAGGTGACACTTCCTCACAATGTTACTTTAAAGCAAATCTTAAGCGAGAACTGTAATTAGTTTTATTATTTTATATTTATAATGTTTTATCCTTTGATGTACATACGTATTTTAATCTTCAGCTTTTAAACTTTAACTTTTCTGAGAAAGGTAAATGAGAAATGAAAAGATTATTTTTAATCTTGATGTCCTCTTTGTCTCGTAGATTAATTGCACATTCAGAGTGCTTACAGGAACTAGATCTAGACGATAATCTCATTGGTGACTTGGGAGGAAGAGAGATCCTTGAGGCACTTATGGACAGAAAAGAAGGTCAGGAGAATATGTCTCGTCTTTTCCAGGTTCTCTCTCTTCTGCCTCCCTTGGTCATTTACCTCATTCCCAGGCTCTCTCTCCTCTGCCTCCCTTGGTCCCAGTGACCAAGGAAGGCAGAAGAGAGAGAGCCTGGGAATGAGGTTGAATTGCCATGAACTGGCCTGAACTGCCCTGAACTGTCTTGAACTGCCCTGAACTGCCCTAAACTGCCCTGAACTGCCCTAAACTGCCCTGAACTGACATGAACTGCCCTGAACTGACATGAACTGCCCTGAACTGACATGAACTNGCCATGAACTGGCCTGAACTGCCCTGAACTGTCTTGAACTGCCCTGAACTGCCCTAAACTGCCCTGAACTGCCCTAAACTGCCCTGAACTGACATGAACTGCCCTGAACTGACATGAACTGCCCTGAACTGACATGAACTCATATTAGGTCTCTGCTCTTCATTCAGACTTGTTTATCAAGTGAGCAATTATTAGCGATCCGTTTGCTTCCCATTTACTCGTAATGCATGCATTATTTAGTCATGCATAATTTATAACTGGGACCTGTACAGCATCTGAAATGATTCCAACCGCACGTGCGTGTGTGTGCCTTTTCCACCATTTTTTGTCTTCCTTTGCGTTTGTGCATTTGCCATTTAGCTTTGCTTAGTGTTTTTAATCCTCAATTATGATCATTTTGTTTCCCGATAACAGCATTTTTATTCTTTTGTTAAGGATGTTCACGCTGATTGTTTCTGCGCATCGTTACTGAAATGAACAATGATAGGGCAAATGGCCATTGCTATAGCTTTGCCTGGATTTAACGATCTTGGAAGTTTAGTGACCCCTATTTTTCTTTTGATGGATCATTTTCTCTACAGATTTTCTACGTTTAGCGAAAAAATGAAGAAAATCTATTGACTAGAGGTTTGAATTTTTTGCAAAATGCACCATCGAATTCCGTTTTTTTAGTTCTTCGTTCATTTGTGCGACGGTTTCAAATGCCTCTTGAAGGGTTAAGTTTTGTGAAAATATTGGGAACATTTGGAATTATTTACGCAGAAGACCTACTTCTACAAAATATGACTACGATCGTTTGCCTGACAAACAATCTGACACAAGTAACTCATTATCTGATTGCAGAGAGGTAGCGCTGTATAGTTTGCTAAGAATTTTGATCTTTCCAACTAGCAATGTGTGCACATTTCAATGATAGTAGTTTTTGTACATTTCTTTCTTAAGCACATTAATTCAAAGAGTAGAATACTAATTTTCATTCATAACGTTGCTTTTTAAAGCATATATGGTGGTTTTGTGTCTTGATTTTTCAGGTGATTTTTCATCTTTTTTACCGTAGACTCCAGCTAACAGTTTCAGCGCAGCATACACGGTCACTGATGTCCATTTAAAATTTCACTCTTTCCAATTTATTGTGACAGCTGTGAACCGACGTTATTGGTTAGATATCAGCTCAATCTGTTTCTTGGTTACTTTATGGAGTCGAAATCTTTCATGAATTTATGTAGTACAAATTAACCTTACTCTACCTGCGACACATGTTGTAACCTAAGTCGGGATCATTTCGGGATCATTTTAGGTTCAACTTGGCGAAATTTTTGAAACCTCGAGACATTACAAAGCCGGGATCTTTACCGAGGCTGGACTGATCTGTGTCACTATTATTTGATGACTAAGATATTTGGTTATGTAAGCTGTGGACTATGCTATGAATAAGAAAAGGAGAAACATGCAAACAGGTTGGATATTTTCTCTTTTTAACTAAACTTTCTCTCCTAATTTGTAGCTGGCTTGCATGCTGTTAAAATCAATGTCACTCACCGAATGAACTCAACAACATTTGCTGCCATCAACAAGCTTGGATCAGGTCTCAAGAAAAAAGGGAAAAAAAAGAAAGGAAAGCCTGGCAAGGTATTAAACTAGCTTCTAAATCAAACCTACAGGAAGGAATTTTTTTTCATTTGACAAATTTTTATTTCTTTCTTTCTATACCCTTGCAAACAGGAAGGAATGTCTTACCTGTAAAATGATGAAAACTGACTTGCAGATTCAACAAGAATTTAATGGGTTTTGTGTTGATATCCATAGAAACGAATTTAGATGGGGGAAAACATGTAGTTCATCTGGCCAGTTGCTCACTAAAGAATGTTAGCCAACTTGGGAATGAAGCTGGTTTGATGCTCAGTCAAGTTTCAGCACAATTCCAATCAAACACAAGAACAGTTCATACATTTGCGTCTGGACGATCGCTCTCAAGTAGTGTGGTGTACAGGACATACTTGACTTGAACCATGACGCGACAGAAACCTCGAGCTCATAATTTAATTGTTAAATAAAGTCGGGGGTTATCCAGAAAGTTTGCCAACGACAGCTCCAGTGTTCTTGAGTTTTGCTTTTGCTTTTTTGTTTTAGTTTTAAAACATTAAATCTTTCCTCAGCAACTGTAAGTTCCTGTCAGTGTGTCTTGTCATGACCATGTTGAAAAGTGACGAACTTAAGTTTAATAACTTCCACATTGGTCCATAATGGTCTCAAAGAAAACCTGTAATGTTACGAGTATGTGCAATATCGAACTTAACCATGATCAGCCCCATTCCTTTGTTGATACCATAGTATAGTACCCAGTGTTATTACACTGATGGTGTTATCCTGTATAGATATTATTATTACTAATTATTATTATTATTGTTATTATTATTATTATTATTATTAAAGTAGTAGAAATGAGCAAAGAAACAAGTGATACGCGAAACTTACGACGAAATGACGTGAAAGGCTGTAAAACCGCATCTGTGTCCACAATCGTCATTTATACATGTCAGTTGTGAAATCACTCATATATTTCGAGGCTTTCAAAACACGGTATATGCTTGCTTAAATACAAAGGAATTAAGCAGGATAGCTGTTATAGCACATGGTTTTTTTTATCACTTTTTTAGCACATGGTTATCCATAAGGGTTTTTCTTCAAGGGTGTTTTGCTACTAGTGTCCATGATGAGGTTGTTCGGCACAAAATGTATCAGTCTTGAAAGAGGAAAATGTCGGTTTTCTTAATTGTAGAGAAAACCGGGTGAATGGGGATTCCACCGGGACCACAAAATTAAAACTGCAGTATAAAGTGGCCGCCGAGTTCCCAATCAGGGGGGTACAGTTTAAAAGTCCGATAGTGCAATTTACTCTGGAGGATTTTTTTTCCTTCACTTCTTCTTTGCACAGTTTTTTTTGTCAGTCACCCTCCCTTGCATGGAATTTTTTTTTGTTTTTCTTAATAGAGAGTGACCACTTAATACGGTGCTGCATACTACATGTTCGACTGTAATTTGAAGGACGTCTAGCAATGCCTCATGTTGTTCTTTAAATGCCTTGAGTATATCGAGAAGCTCGTCTAGAATAGAGTCCAGCTTCTGTAACACGTCCAAACAGTCCATCTTGAAACACAAATGTCTCTGTATTGAGAGCACCTATGGCAATAAAGTCATTGTGAACGGTGTTGAAAAGATATCATTTTCGGACAACGCCATGGAAGGCTGAACAGAAAATTGGGAATTTACATAACTTCCGGTAAAAGAGGACAATGTCCTGAGGTATACCCAAATTTTCGAAAGCTTTTTCCTGGAAATTTCCGTTCGATTTGATTTTCATCCTGGAATTTCCAGAATTTTTGGTTTAATGGTTTGCTCTTCGGAAATTCGACAGTTTCAGGTTTTCTGGAATCTTTCCCAGTAAATTTCTTCCCGTTTCGAAAATTCAAATGGAAAGCGTCCCGGTTAGGCTCAGTCTCCAGAGCTTCTTTATCGGATAGGGTGCTGTTCCTTCCTTTCTTCCTCACGTTTGTCACCCAACCCCTATGCCCCTTCCCCGTTTACTTCTGCAACGCAGGCTGCATTTGTTAGTGTGTTTAGACAATAGGCAGTCCGCTTATGTGAGTCCGTTAGCGCCGCTGTTACATCACTCTGTAACGTTGTCGCAGTGTTGCACCTATTTTTTCATCATTATCTATAAAATCGTCGACAAAAGCCCTTCGTAACTCATGTTTAGGGCAACTGTGTCAGCCGCAACGGTCATAAATGGGCTATCGAATTTTTGGTCAGGTCATAAATACGGTAGTAAAAAGCGCAGATTTTGGTCATAAATAGGGTAAGGGTCTTGGGAAGTGGGCCGCACACCCACACCCAACTTTTCTGGAAGTATCCCCCCCGGGTAATTGAAGTTGATTCGCCTACATACTAAATACTTATCTAAAAATTGACAAATAGAATTACAATAATTATAGTAATGTTTTTCAGAAGAGTATTCCACAGCGACTGGGCGGCTATGCTGTTCTGTCTCAACAAAATATTCGATCCCTTGGAATGATTTTTCCAACGAAAGAAACGCTGCCGAACATGTACAACTCCTTAAGCAATGTGCACGTCTGAATGGCCCGTCACGAGTATTCGCTCAGCGCTCCAATTAATAGGTCACTGAGAAATGTATTTGAAGTCTTTCCAGAAACAATGACAAGTATATGAGGTAAACCGATTTGAGATTCTGACAACACTCACATGTGACATTCAATGTGAAAAGTTTATTAACGGCCATGGGCCGAGCGCGGTTCATGTTCTACCCTTGGTTTACTATTATTAACCGCGCGGCCATGGGCCAAGCGCGGTTCATAATCTACCCTTGGTTTATTTTTTTGTTTAACCGCGCGGCCATGGGCCGGGCGCGGTTCATAATCTACCCTTGGTTTATTATTATTATTTTCTTTTTTGTCGGTGACCAAATCAAACTTCCTCTCGGCCAAATTTTGAGTCACGCANCTTAAATGCGAACGAATCAAGCAGGATGGCTGTTTAAAGCAAATGGCTTTTTCTATCACTTTTAAGCCATGGTTATCCATAAGGGTGAAATGCTGAAGAATTGAGGCCGTTGAAGTAGAAAAATAATTGGCGCTATCAACAACAGAATAGAAAGTGAGTTGTGCAGCCAATGAGCGAACGGCATTCGTGATACAACGCAAGTAGATATATGCTAATTAACAATTAAATTATGAGGTCGAGATTTCTATGAGGTGATAGTTGATGAGGGCGAAGGCTGAAATCAACTATCACCCCATAGAAATCGAGAGCGAATAATCTAATATTTTTTTTATAGAATTCTAACTGAGTAGCCTGGCAGGGAGCACTTGTTAAGGAGCTGGCAGCCTCCTTTTCATTTTTGAGGTGTATGTTAAGAGCAATTTTAGATGAAGCTTTGAGCGTCTAGACTTATACTAAAACAAAAAGATTATTCTTTCTCAATTTCTATGCGCACTAGTTGACTCGGGTTGCACCCTCGTCAACTATCACGGGATAGAAATCTCGAGCTCCAAATTAAATTGTCAAATAGGGTTTGTCTTAACAAATCTTCCCACAAAAGAATATATTATTATTATTATTATTATTACTATTACTATTACTATTACTATTACTATTACTATTACTATTACTATTACTATTACTATTACTATTACTAT